CAAAATAGTTGTCTTGTGGCATCCGTGGTAACGTTTATACAACAAACCCGAGCCTTGTTGTTTTGCTGTGCAAATTTACTACTTTAGCCAACAAATTGCTCCCAACGGAAGCACTCATACAACTGTCGTTTAGTAGCTCTTAAAGGCTTTATATCTGCAATGATATTACAACTCTTGTAGTACAGACTTGCTGTGCTCGGCATACATTTGTTGCTAAATACGTTGGTATACAACTTCTCCATAACCTAACTTTCCGCTGTCATCTTTTTAGTTAAAATGCCATAACCAATATTTTAAGACAAACAACGCATGCATATTGGTTTAAACTGTTTAAACAGAAGATATAGATCTGGTACAAATTCTCTGGGTAAATCATTCGACTCTATCCGTATTTCATTTCAGAGATTTGTCAAATTGTTGTACAACACCTGCAGACAACACCAAAAGATTCTAATAAACCAAAGACAACATGGACGATGCCATGATTATACATAACCACCCGCCATACTGGGCAAAAATATATTCCTCTATTGAAATTTAAATAATTATCTTTCAGTTCGACATTACAGATATAAAGTGATAAGCATTACTGTAATTGTAAATATAGGATTTGTGGAAGATTTAACGCAGATAAGTTCAGTTTTTTATCTTAAAAATCAGGACATACTTTTGGTCATTATTAAAATATGAATCAAATGCGTAGCGCGTAGAAATTGCGTAACTACTTTGCACGATAATCACAATAAAATTTGCTGCGCAAGTAATTCAATAGCCCTATATCACAGTGTACAAGTTTATCATATACCTGTCTATAAAATTCACAATGGCCGATATGTAAGTAAACAAAGTTGACTGTAATGTGGTAGTTATATATGTATTCTTCACTTCGCCTATATAATACATAAGAAATAGATTGGTTGCAATAAAGTAGAATCATGTAACAGAATAGTTGTATAGTTGACAAAAACTGAATCTTGCACTGAAGAACATTTCTACATCGGCTGCAAGAGGTTCAAGCATCCCACAAAGCGGCGCGAAATAATCGCGGCGAAGTATTCGCAACGAAATTCAGAGCGAAATTCGCAATCTGTTTCGCCTGTTTATTCATACCAAAGCGTGAAGGTTTCGACGGGTTGCGTACATTTTATTTTTGCCTTTGGCAATGAGCTCGTCTTCAGAAGAAGAGGAGGCACTTCTATTTCTTGCTTTAGAAGAGGAACAAAATGCACGGTAAGTTATGTTTATTTAACGCCATTTGACAGTTGGGTATGTATTAAGTTTAACGAAGTACATAAAACAAATATTTTCAATTTTGTTTAGGAAACGAAGGAAGTGGGTACATGATATTAACTTGGAACGAAATAAATTTGGGGAATACCATACCTTGATGCCACAACTTCGGCTGGATGAACAGCGCTTTTACGTATATTTTAGAATGACTCCAGAGTGTTTCGATGAAATATTGAACTTGGTGAAAGATGAAATACGAAAATCTGACACAAATTATCGTGAAGCTATTTCGCCAGAAGAACGACTTGCTATTACACTCAGGTAAAAAAATTATATGTATTAAAATTAGTAGGCTTATCGAATACGAAAACTTCAGGGATCGTGAAATAAATATTTTATTGTAATAATTGGACTACATGTTGCCACTAGGATTAAATGTTGCTAAATAATTCGAGGCAGAATTTGCCTCCTCTGTTGGGTATATTATTGGAGTAAACCCAGTGCCGCTTGGGAAGGACGACATACTACTATCATACATACTTGCAGAATTCTGGGTAGACGCTGAAGACATTTCTTCAATATGTTCAAATTCTTCGTGCGCTATTAATTCGGCTATTTTTAGTTTTATTCGGGCTTGACGCTTTAAGGGAAGTGTTTTCACAGTCTGTGCATGTGCCAAGAAAAGTGAATCAATGGTCTCGTTCTCTTTTTTAGGTTTTTTACCTTCAAAATAATTAATGAGCTGTTGTACAGACGAAGATGGTGGTTCATAGCGTTTTCTGCTCGTTTTATATTTTGGTGTAGTTGCAGTCTGCGGAAAGGTGTGCCCTGGAGTAGTCACTGAGTGTTCAATGAAGAAGGTGGTGCTGTCTGTGTTGCCGAGGCGTTCTGTGCATCTTCTGCATCTACATCAGCATTTTCATCTTCTCCATGGCCGCGGTCTTCCAAATTTTCGGTTTCTACATTTCCAGCCCTTTCCTGATATATATTTGAGTTAAATTCGGCAGTCTCATAATGTATGACGTCAATATCTTTCACATTAGACGACGTTTTGGCAAATGTCAAAAAAGGACGGAAAAATTCCATGTAGTCAGCCCACTGCCATTTTTTTATGTTGCCCACTGCTTGGCCGGTCTTTGGTTTGGTAGATTTTATATATTTTGCAAATGTGTCTCTGATATTCTTCCACCTTTGTTTTACTTCATCACCTAAAAACGATTTTTTTATAGATTCCTTGCCACTGGTGACACCTTCTATACCATTGGGCATAGCTTTCGAGTTGGCTTTACAACAGTGAGTGCAATCGTAACCGAAGTCTGTGAAGCGATATGCAGACATATGGAGCATATATATTTACCAGAACCAACAGAGAATATATGGAAAAAATGTGCTGAAGAATTTGAAAATAGATGGGGATTTCCCAATTGCATTAGCAGCGTGGACGGTAAACATGTAACAATCAAGAGACCTAACAACAGTGGCTCCAATTACTGGTACTATTTACATAAATATTCAATAGTACTTATGGCCATTGTTGGCCCGGACTATAAATTTATATGTGTTGATATTGGTGGTTTCGGAAAAAATAGTGATGGGGGTATTTTCGAAACCTCAAACATGGGAAAACGATTTGAACAAAATTTAATGAGTGTCCCTGCACCTAGATTTCTCCCTGGGCAAAATGAAATCTGCTCGTACGTCTTAATTGGTGATGAAGCATTTGCTTTAAAACCATACCTTATGAGACCATTTCCTTATAAGCAGACTTTAACAGACGTCAGAAAAGAGAAATACAATGTAAGACTTTGTCGAGCTAGAAGGGTCGTGGAAAAAGCGTTTGGTATTTTGTCTCAAAATGGCGAATATTTTACGGGCCATTAGAAACTAAAGTAGATACTACTATTCTAATTGTACGTACGGCATGTGTTTTACACAATTTTTTACGAAGTAAAAGTGGCGATGACAAATATTTTCAATTCTTAGATCCCCCAGAACCCGTGCTTGGAGCTTTTACTGATATAGCAAATGATCCTCGGCGGGCAGCAAGGCTAGCATTTTCTACTCGTGACAAATTCGTAAATTATTTTAATTCCGATATGCCTATGCCCAATATATAGAATGTTCGTTTTCACATTTGTGTAGACTGTAAATTATTTAACAAGTTAATAAAAAATATTAGGTACATACCATTTGTATTTAATTCTTTTCCTATTTCCATCCAAATCTTGTCTTTCTTTCTCACATTCCTGTATTCATCGTTCGACAAATAATACAAACAAGGACACTTTTTCACTATTTCTATCAATAATTCCGTTTTTGCCATTGCGAATTTTTGAAGAACGGCGTCAAAAACGCGGTCAAAGGCGAACTGAAATTCGCCGCGATAAAAACGCTGGAACAATCGCATTCGCTTCGCACAAGTCTGAGCCTGTCCGTAAACCGCCGCGTTTTAATCTGATCGCGAATTCATTGCCGCGAAATTTTCGCAGTCAAAGCGAATATTTCGCGCCGGTTTGTGGGATGCTTTACACTTTTATTGTATAACTGTTACCTGCAGCCCTTATACAACCTCTTGATGACTGAAGTGTCCTATTAGGTGTGCCCATTCCGCTTGTATAGCTATTCTAAGAGGGTTTTGCCAATGTTCTTACAGTATACAATGCTGTGTAAGGCATACTGTATAATCATTCTTGCAACTCAAATAGGAGTGATAATTGTTAGTTGGTCGTAAATTCGCCATCTTTATTATTCTTCATCCTAGGCTTCCCAGCCTCCATGATAAGCCTTCCTAGACAGTAAAGCCCAAATTGGGCGAGCCTGCGGCAAGTTTGGAGGATTATCGTTTTTGGGAACAAAAGGTATGTTGTGTTGTCGAAGCTAGTTTTTGGATCTTTTGCGTAATGGCATGATGTTTGGTCTGGCCAAAACATGATATGGTTATTAACATGACGTTCGAAGACAACCTGTAGCAATTTGGAAACGCAGCTATCAATATAGCTCTGACTAACCAAAGCTTCACCCCTCACTCTTTCCACAAAAGGTTGGGATACACCCCTCTTAAAAATTGCGCACCGGACAAGGATTATATCTTCTAATTTTGCTTTATGTTTGTATCTAACATTGTCGGGACATTCAATTTCGGGTACCCGCCCAACCAACTTGTAGATACTTTTTCTTATTTCTAATTTATACATCTTAAAGCGAACACTTCAAAATAAATATATGTCAACTGACAATAAAGTAAGTAAAATATCCTTTGTTACTAACGGCAACTTGATATTACTTTGTGTTTGTTAAAACTAAGGCCAATGAATTTTGTGCCAAAACTTTTAGGACATATTTATGTTACTATTAAAAACCACCTAATTATTTTTTAAATTCTGTTCCAAAAACAATTACTGACTCCATTGCAGCTCAGTAGTTCTACGCTTATGGTCATCTGACATCGTTTTCTTTCTTAACTGATAGATTTTTACGAAAAAGTAACAGACGACACAAAACAAACAAAAGAATAGGAAAGAGTTATGTTTTATTCATGGGTTGGTAGATAACAGTGCAAGGTTTGATCTTGATCGTAACTGTTAGTAACAGTGACGTTCCAATGCCAAATGAAGTCATCATTTAACAGCTGTTAAAAACTTGGTGGCTTATAATGAAAAGTTAACACAAACACGACTGTTAGGATTGGTTGATCGCTTAAAATTGCTTATAGAACAAAATGGCAAACCATGGGTTATGACGTCACTGCAAAGCGTATCTTTGGAATTGCACTATTAAATATTTTATTGTTTATGGCATTATATTCACGTAAATAATCGAAACTACAGAATACATGCATATCCCCTATTGGCGTAGTATGTGGAAAATGTTGATGAAAGCTTAAAACAAGTATGATTTAAAATATCCAAATGCTATATTTGTGAATGAATACATATTGAAAGCTATAAAAATACGTACCTGCTGTCATGTTATCTTCAAAAACCAGAGCCGGTTGATCAGCAATTTCATCATCGATCAAAAAATCGTCTTTTCCATCAGACAACGACAGCGAGTTCGAGGCGTTTGTAGGAGTTCCAGGCGATGAACATGACGGTTTCTCGTTGATATCTTTTGAGTTGGAGGAGTTTCGTTCTTTGGTCTTTCTTATTTCCTCGGACTCCGTGCAACTCAGGATACTGTCGGTTGGAGATAGAAGGGTTTCGTCATCCAGGAGAGATTCTGAAATTAATTGAGGCACGTTGAAGACTTATTGCAGAAAACCTGACACGATGTTATGTGTTTCGGCCTCCCTCCAACAAGACAATAGTTTCGACCTATATTTGACAGCTTCGGAAACTCATCATTTGACAATTTATACAGGGTAATTCAGAAAATAGTAACAATAGGTGTACTGCATAAAGCAGGTAAGAAAATAACACAAAAAGTCATAACTCCAGCATAATTTCGAAATAAGAAAAAATTTATCTTTGAAATGCATTAAGATATTGGCTTAACAATATATACATATATATAATATACATATATACATATATACATGGTGTCCCAAAAAAGTGTGCAATATTCTACCAGCGGTTTCTAGAGCTTAAAATAGGAAGAAAAGTTTATATAAACATAGGTCAACAAACGTCCCCTAAGGGCGCTACGGTCTTTTAAAGGGGCGTCCCTGAAGATGGTTTTTCTTTAATATTTCCGAAACGTGTTGAGATAAAGACATAAAATTTGGTATTCTAGTCTAGTTTTTTATGCTGGATTTAAAAATATCAACAATGTTAGACAGTTTTGTTTCGAAGCGTATGTAACAGGGACGGACTCAGGTTATTTTAGCCCCAACATTTTTGTATGATTCTATTTTTGAAATTCAATTTTAGAATTTGAAAATTTAGGGTTTTCTACATAAAAAGGTACTCTTATTGAATATCGATAAATTGTGCCATTTTTGAATAAAATCAAACTAAACATTTGTCACATGATAGGAAATGTACTGCGAATTCCGAGTGGCACACGACGGCGTCTCCTCGCCCAAAAAGGGAAGAATGAGCAAATCCAAAGTGAAAACGATGTTCATTGTCTTTTTTGACATCAAAGGCAGCGTCCACCATGAATTTGTTCCTCCTGGACAAACCGTCAACGCCTAGTTTTACGTGGAGGTGCTCAGGAGACTCAAACGAAGTGTCAGTCGGGTCCGACAAGGCATCGCAGCCGACTGGAAGTTGCACCACGACAACGCCCCGGCTCACACCGCCTTTCTTGTGAACAGCTACCTGACCAAGGCCGGCATCCCAACACTTCCGCAGCCGCCCTACAGCCCAGATGTGCCCCCCCGGACTTTTTTTTGTTTCCTCGCCTGAAAAGGCCGATGAAAGGCAAGCATTTTGAGACGACAGAGGGATCCAAGCAGCATGCACCGCGGCTCTCAAGGCTATTCCGGAGAATGCCTTCCGTGACGCCTTCAATGCTTCGAAATCGCGCTGGCAGTGCTGCATCGACGCAGAAGGAGCCTATTTTGAAAGTTTTTAAAGAATTGTAACGATTGGCTCAATACATTTTTTTAAATCGACTCAGTCCTATTACTTTTCGGACAAACCCTGTACAGCAATATCAGGGTTGTCCATTTTATTTTGATTTACGGTGAGTGTTGTGAAATGTTATCGAGTGCGAGTGCATGCAGATCGTTTGTCCAGATCCTTCGTGATTTTTTTCTTTGGGGCGGAATATGTTTAGTAGTTTAGTGTATAAAATGGAGGTGAACAAGGTTGACGAACTACGCGTGCGAATTTAGCAATCTGTTGCATTCATTCGGGAAAGGCAGTCCATTCTAAAAGCATATGTATGGCTATGTGGAGCACATACATGTCTTTGAATCTATGGCAGACAACTTTGAACAATACTTACTCACAGAGCTGTACTTGAAATTTATTATATTTTTTTTTTACTTTTTCGTTGTTGTTTCACCAAACATTAGGTTTGTTATTAGAAACGTAGTTTTTTCCCTACCTGTATTACTAGCAGCAGCTGCAACAGCCGCAAACCTATGATCTTCGATAATCAACCTGTCATCTTGCATTTCCACAGAGACGGTGGACGCTGTGGTAGTGAATGACCTGGAGGCGAGACTCGCGCTCCCGCCGCTAGTGGCGCTGCATGTCATAAGATTATGGAGCGCTGCCGCTGAAATTGGGATAGGATCGGGATCCAATCTGCAATCGTCTCGATCTCGGTTCTTATCTCTGCTTTCGTCACTTGAGCTGAATGAGACACTGGTCTCGTCTGCCATGGCTTCGCCACCGTGAATCTGGAAAAGGATCAATCAGGTTTTAACTACTAGGTGTTGAAAAAATCCCTATACGGCGAATAATCTTGAAAAACATGAGCCTAAGAGAACTTACACCCAGAAATGAGTTTTTCCCCAGACATCTAACAATGACCTTGAATTTGACCTTGAGTGGACTTTCAAGGTCAAATAAAAAGTATTCAATATATTTGACATCTAAAATGGATAGTGCGGAAAATTTTACGAATGGATGGTTTCTTGTCTTAAAAAAAATTGACCTTTGAAGGTCGTGATCACGGTCTATTGTCTGATCGATAAATAATATTTATTAAATGAAGTGATCTATCTCTCTAAGAAAAATTTTGCACAAGTATAGGCTTATGATTATCTGGCGGCGACCTTGAAATTGACCTTGACGGTTGAGGTCATTCAAAGGTCAAGTCTATTTTTATCAAGCGGTAATGGATAGAGTGGAAAATTTTAGGTTTTTAGTTCTTGACTTCAAACAAATTGACTTTTAAAGATCATGATCACAGTCTAATATTTAATCGATAAATAATATTTGATATATGAAATGATCTCTCTAAAAGAGGTTCTGTCTATGATTTGAGGTCATGTTCTAAATACAAAATATTTTACACCGCAAATGGATAGAACGGAAATCTTTATTCATGGATGACCTCAAAAAATTTGACCTTTGGAGGTCATGTTCAAGGTCTAATATCTAATGGATAAATAATATTTGATAAATAAAACGATCCATCTAAAAGTAATTTTGCCCAACCTTCAGCTTAGGATTTTCTGTGGCGATCTTGAATTTGACCTTGACATTAATGCTTGATGTCATTTCAAGGTAACAAGTCGATCTTTTTAAGCAGAAATAGATAGAATGGAAAGTTGTGCGTTCAAATGAGTTCTGGACTTCAAAAATTTTGACCTTTAAAGGTCATGTTCAAGGTCTAATGTCTAATGGATAGTTAATATCTGATAGATAAAAGTATCTCTCTAAAATATATTTTGATCAAATATAGGCTTAGGATTTCCCCTTGGCTGTTTGACGGCGACCTTGAATTTGACTTTGACGTTTACCTTCAAGGTCGTTTTCAAAATATAAAATAATTTTGAAATATTTGACATCGGAAAAGGATAGAGCGGAAAACTTTACTCACGAATGAGTTCTTGTGTTAAAAAAATTTGAGCTTTGAAGGTCAACATTAAAGTCTAATATCTGAACGATAAATAATATTTATTAGATAAAACGATCCCTCTAAAAGAAGTTTTGCCCAAGCTTAGGTGACTGTTAGTTAAATTTGACATTGACCTTTAAACTTGAGGTAATTTCAAGGTCAATTTCATTTTTTCAAACTGAAATGGATAGAACGGAAAATTTTACCTTCCGATTAGTTCTGGAGTTAAACAAAAATTAACTCTGTCATCTTCAAGGTGTAATGTCTAACCGATCATTAATATTTAATAGATAAAATGATATCTCTAAAATAAATTCTACCCGAGCACAGGCTTATGGTTTTACTTTGGCTATCTGACTACGAACCTGAATTGAGGCAATTTCAAGGTCGAGGTCATTTTTTTCAAATGGAATTCTAAACTTTTGACACCGGAATTGGATACAGCAGAATATTTTATGTTCTTGATCTCCAAAAATGAGTGCTTTGTTCTTGTTGAAGATCAAATGTCTAATCGATAGAATAACCTTAAAACCCATAAGTCTAAAAAAAGTCCCCCATTTAAAAAAAATATACTTGGTCCTATGATGACCTTGAAGGTCAAGGTCACTGACACATAGCCAGATAAAAATCCTAAGCCTATGGTTGGATATAATTAACTTAGGACCGTATCATCAGTCGTTCCTACAATTGTAGGACGCCTTTATGGCCTCCTTGATTTTCATAGCCTTTTCTCTCCTTCAGAAAGGCTGACGTAGAATCTAGATTTCCACCGTTCCGTGTCAGCGTCAGCGCTCTCCTAGTTATGTTTTCTTTTTAATAATTTGTAGGAAATTTCAGGCTGATAAGACTGACGATAAAAACTGAAAGCATGAACAATTTGGTGCAAATAATATTTGTAACATAACCTCAAAATAGACCGCCTTTATGCAGAACAGGAAGTACCATGACAATCAAGGAAGCCGTAAAGTCGTCCTACAATTGTAGGAACAACTGGCGATACGGCCCTTAGATTTTCGGAGTAAATCATGTTTCCTAAAATTCAGTACCTAGTATTTCATTTGAATTTGACTTAACCTGCTTAACTATCCAGCACCACATTAAATTCCTTACCCAGTCAGGTTCATCCGAACTTGGCGGGCTAGAGTCTCCCTTATTATCCGTCCTCGACTTAAGGAACGCTTTATGTCCGGTCCCTGATTTGAAGAACGTTTTCTCGCTCCTGAACGAGTCCCTGAACGTCTTCTCCTCATCCCCGTAGTCGTCACTGAATCCCTCCGATGAAGTCACTGAGATTTTTCGTGAGCTGCCACGCTGGTTGTCCCACTCTATGTTTTGATGGTACTCCATGGTACGCTCTCTTACTAGGCCGGTTTGATATGGTCTGAAACACGATTTTATTGAATACCATACTATTTATTGATCACATTATGTATATACAATGTACATGCGTGGTCTTATAAGCTAATTATTATCTATCCGAGGGTCATCATAGCATCAACGTACTCATCATCTGAATAGAAACAGTGGTTAAGCAATGTTTTTTTAGCAAACTTGGAGAAGTAGCGATTAGACATATTTAATGGGAAAACTACAGGATTTGGCGTAAGATTTGCTCGACCATCCCCCTATTCTCTTGATTTGGCACCCTTAGACTTCCGTCTGATGAAGTTGAGATGGCTGTAGACAAAACATTTTGACAGCCTTCCGAGAGGGAATCCTAATGTAGGAAACTATGTGGGAGTCGAAGATGATTTTATAAAAAAATTAAATACTTTTTAACTGAAAGTTGCAGTCTCTCGGCAAGCCGAGAACTTTCCACCCTACCCTCGTAGTAAATCTCCCCTTCTTACCCAAGAAACGGGTTAATGTCCAATTGCAAATAGCAGCGTTAGTTTCTCCTACTGCTCGTAGAATGGTAAAGATATCTTGTGCGACCGGTCTTTGGAAAAAGTTAACTTTGCATACCAAACTGCGGGCAATAATACGTTGTTTCTTTTCGGTCGGTCTTTGGGATCTTTTTTCACTTTATATAAAAAATGGAGCTTGTATCCAGTTTTTTTAAATACTTTTCTAGACCTTGGAAATTACAGCAATGTCTACAGGAAATTGTCTCCTAATTATCATAGTATGTAGTGAGGATCAAAGTGCACTTGACATAAGTCAATCTTTTGACAGTTCGGTCATTAAATTCGTATTTCCAGTAATTATCTTTTAAAAGTGCGAGTATTTGCAGATAATTGTGGTGTTAGACGATTTCAAGACATGATACTTCTTACATAATTTGCATAGAGCGACACACGCCTGCCGAAGGTAGATGTTTCCATCGGTAAGTATTATTATTGTGTGGATACAACGCTGTTACCTTGGCAGACATTGGCAGTCAAACGAACTAAGCAATTTTGTCGGCAAAGAATGCAATGTAAACATATTCGATATACACAGCCAGGGTTGCTATGTATAGAAGATCTGTTTTTGGTGGATTTGTGCGAAATTCTTTGGTAGATCGTTGAAATTTTTCGGTAGTCAGTCAACCAAAAAGTAGAAACTGGCCGATGATGGAGAGGGAGGGGGGTGGTCACCTTGCTTGCACGATACACATACACTGAAGATAGGATGTTGCGCATGTGGACTGGACGGAGCGTCGTGACGTCACCTTGAGAGTAGTTATCAGCGGCAGGATTGTCGTAACGTTACTGCAGTGCACGTGTATCGTGGTTAATACTATATAGTGCGATTTTTTGGTGATTTCCCAACTAGCAAAGTAGTAGTATCAGCTTTTGGTAAAAGAACCGTTCAGCCATAAAAGCTCTCTATTGTTGTTGCCTGAACACCAAAATGCTGGCTTAATGTTGTGTGGAATTCAGATTTGCTTTCTACAACCTATTTTCTCTAAAATGAAGTGTTTAAAATATTCTTATAGCATAGTTATACAACACCTTATAGGGCAAATTTTTAACTGTTGCATAAACGTTTATACAACTATTTTATACGGCATATTTGCACGTTAGTCAAAATGGTTGTTGTGGCATCCATGGTAACGTTTATAAAACAAACCCGAGTCTTGTTGTTTTGCTGTGCAATTTACTACTTTAGCCAACAAATTGCTTCCAACGGAAGCACTTATACAACTGTTGTTTAGTAACTGTTAAAGGCTGTATATATGCTAAATATGTTGGCAAAAAACTTCGCCATAACCTAACTTTCTGCTGTCACATTTTTGTAAAATGCCATAATCAATGTTTTAAGACAAACAACGCATGCATATTGGTTCAAAAGGTTTTATCAACTGTTCAAACAGAAGATATAGATCTGGTACAAATCCTGGGTAAATCATTCGACTCTGTCGGTATTTCATTTCAGACATTTGTCAAATTGTTGTATAACACCTGCAGGCAACACCAAAATATTCTAATAACCTAAAGACAACATGGACGATGCCATGATTGTACACAACCACCCGCCATATTGGGCAAACATTTATTCCTCTATTTAATATTAAATAATTATGTTTCAGTTCGAAATTACAGATATAAAGTGATAAACATTAGTGTAATTGTGTCTAAATATAGGATTTGTGGAAGATTTAACGCAGATAAGTTCTGTTTTCCATCTTAAAAATCTATACATACTTTTGATCATTGTCAAAATATGAATCAAAAACGAAGCCCGTAGAAATTGAGTAACTAATCTGCAGGATAATCACAATAAAATTTGCTGCGCAAGTAACTCAATAGCCCTATATCACAGTGTAGAAGTTTATCATATACCTGTGTATGAAATTCACAATGGCCGATATCTAAGTAAACGAGATGACTGTAATGTGTTAGTAGCCAATGTTCTTACAGTATACAACGCTGTTTAAGGAATACTGTATAATCATTCTTGCAACTCTAATAGGAGTGATAATTGTTTGTTGGGTTTTGGTGGTTTTATGACTTGTTGTATTAGTTATGCATACTTTATATACCCTGTGTGATTGATAAATTGTTAAAAATGCGGTGTGCTGTTGTGGGATGTAATTCCGACAACCAATCTAAACGGAATCCTTGTAAAGACATGAGGTTCCACAGTTTTCCTCAAGACCCAAACCTTAGCAAAAAATGGCTACATCTAAAATTACAGACAAAGTCAATGTGAAAAGCGCTGGTGTTTGCTCGAAGTACTTTTGTGAAAGTGCCTATGAGGTCAATTTGAAACATACCATTTTGGGTTACACCCCTAAAAGATATCGTGCTCTAAAAGATGATGCCATTCCTACGGAAAATTTACCCAAGCCTCTATCATCACTTGGACCTTCTACATCTGTTGCTGGGGAAAAGCGGAAAAGTGCTTACGAAAAAAGGAAAAGGGCTCAACTTATTCAAGACAACCAAAGGCAAGTTTTTAAAAATGTTGAATTAATTGTATAATAATTAGTTTAACCTTATGCATGACACGTGTGCAGAAATAGATGATAAGGGCAAAAATACTGCTGGTCAAGCTCAGATCATAATGTGATGGTGGAAGCTGTGCTGGAGTCAAATAGGTATTGCATCTGAAGTAGTGTGATGCTTTTGCTCCTATAATTTGAAAAATTAACGCACAAAATAATTGACGTAGCATATAGAAGGTATTACAGAAAATCGTGGCGGTAATTCTGGGATAGAAAGTAGATCCAAGAATAACATGAAATGTTCTTATAAACATGGTTCCTAGAAATAATAAGAGTAATAAAAATAAATAATAACAAATGGTCTTCATTTCAAGAAATATTGCCATGTTCTTCTGAAACAACCTTTGTAGGATTCAAACTAATGAAACAAATGAAGAATTGGACAATCTCAAACATAAATTTTTACTTGTAACAAGGGAGAATGAGAAACTAAAAAGCCATACTGCTGGGGTCAAAAAAGTATTGGAAAAAATCAAATGACAAAAGGACAATCAGAAAAGAATAATTTGGTCAGTGAGTGAAATTTCAAATGCCATATCCATGTATGGTGCTGGCTCTAGAGCATACAGGCTGTCCGAGGAGGGGTTTCCCATATCCAGCACTTTCTACACTGAAGTAAGGGCTAAAAAATATAAAGGTAGAACCAGGGATCTTAAAAAATGCGCTAAAAATTACAGAGTTTGCTGATATGACTGAAAAGGATCGTGTATGTACGTATTTGATGAAATGAAAGTTATAAAGGAGTACCAGTATGACCAAACAAAAGACTGTGTAATAAAACCTTATTATTGTCTCCAAATTTTAATCAGGGGAATCTTTAAATCATGGAAGCAGCCAGGTTTTTATAAAAAGCAAAACTTTATAGGCGAACTTCTGTTGAAGAGCAGCAACATTGACTGCCCTTAAAAAACATCTGAATAAAACTTTGAAAGCCCAGAAAAATCGTAAAAGGAAATGGAGAGAAAATGTTGCTTGGACTAAGTCATTTTCATTTATTGTTATACTGCAAAAAGAAGATAACTGCATTTTCCTACTTATCGAGTTGCGTATATTTTCACACTTACATGTACTTAGATTGAGTATGTTAATGCTGCTCCATAGAACATACTAATATACAGGGTGTCCGCAAAATTGGGGTTTTCCTTTTCAGAAACAACTACCCTTGAAATAACAAAGGTAATGTGTAGTGAAACGAGGGCGACCAAGTAAAAAAAAAAATAAAGGAAAAAGTACTCACTCTCCAGTTGACGAGAAGGGCTAAGTACGTCTCTGCCCGAAATCATACCGCTCCAACAGAAAATGAAATCAGCTGAAGCGCTACCGAGCAGACGCAGAAACAACATTGATTGTCTTACACTTAATGGCACATCTTCTAACAAGGAAGGCAAAATGTTGCGTCTACTGACCAAACATGAGTGTTGCGAAAGTTATTCACCCCATTACGCGTGAACGTAGATTCGTCTATCACCAATATGCACTTCAAAAAGTCCGGATTATTGTCATGTTGATGCAAAAACCACTCACAAAACCGCACTCTTGCTGGAAAATCGTCAGCGTTTGCAACACATTAGTTTTTGATACTTGCACTTCTCTAGCCACGTCTCTAGTGCTTGTTGAGGGATTCTCGTCTACGCGATTACCTCTACATGCGTGACCGTAACCGTCAGTTCTGCCGTCGGGTTGAGACCTTGTACCAATCGGTGATGTCCCGGTCGCGGCTACAGGACGGTATTCAGATATTTTTAATGTTGCAGAGCCCTTTATCTCGGTTCCCTTAAGACATTGGTGTATATGGCACTAAGAAAAATTGCTTATGTTTTCAAGATCTACACGTCGTGTAAAGGAAAACCCCAACTTTGCGGACACCCTGTATAGGTAATGTAGAAAAATGGAGTTATCTTGTTTTTACAGTAAAGTGAAGATACGCTCTATTGTGGAGCTAGAAAGCCGTTTAAGCTATAGCAGGAATTACAAGGTTGAAACCTTTTATTTAAATGCGGCATTTTGTATAACATTTTTAGCTTGTGTCACTCGCATCGCTAAGACGAATCCAGCGATACCTCATTTGTGAAAATCCGTCCAGCCGGAATATATGAAAATAAATAATTGATGAGCAGGGGAGGGGGCTAAGCATTAAATGCTGAAATGCCGCTATTTGAAAAATTAAAGGTTGCACCAAATTTCACTCATCGAAAATTGAAGAGCGTTGAATTAGAAAAATGCTTCTAAAAATCGATAGATCTTCCGAAGGATCGAAGTACCGTATCGGTAGACCTACCTAAAAATAGGTTGATGTTGCGAAAAATCTGTTGACTACCGAAAAATTGGTGGATCACACTTAAAATCGGTAGGTCTACCGAAAAATCGATAGACCTGTTAACACTGCCCATAGCATAACTAGCGCCGTCTGCTTCTAGCTTTCTGGATTACCCTTCATTGGCAAAACGCAGTCAAGGAGTAGGATACTAATATTTATTGAACATTTTTGGTATTTTATGCCTCTAGAACGAAAATACACACCTCTTCTTATTGTCTGGCATATTAAACGCACTAGGTAATTGTGGCAAAGGTGGTGGTGGAATACTGTCACAGGAATCATTGGAATCGTCCACATCTTTCACGTCAAACGTCTTCTTAGGCGACACTATTATTTCAAGTTTCCTGCACCTCTGACTGTTTCTCCTTCTGGCACCGAAATTAGGTGACGACTCAAGTTGCTCCAGGCCTGTTAACGGATCGTTTTCTCCAGGATAAACTGAAATTACATTATTTTTTTAATGGACTTAAAATTCACAAACAATTATCTATAATGAATTCAAATCCCATTAACGCTCCGTCAAAACGAACATAAACACTTGATCGCCGCTCCTATTCGCTTGTTGCTGTCGCTCCCAGGCATTTATGCCCCGCTAGCCAATAGAAGCACGCCAATTTGAACTGGTGTTTGTTTTGGCAAGGCATAAATGGGATTACTAAGTGACATATAAATCCGAACACCCAGTTTAAATGGTTTTATTTTAATAAAAGTTGGTGAATGTATTTATCTTACTGTAAATAACAAGTGAAAAAATTTTCAGCCTTATCAGTTGGACATTCCGGTTTTTATACTGCTTTTTCTTAATTCACTAACGCTCTAAAAATGAATATTTCAGCCGCAGTAAAGAATCAACGTTGGCGGATTTTGGTTCTTGACATCCTTTACGATCGGTTACGATGCCTAGAGTACGGAGACCTGTACGATTTCGTCAACTTAGTGAGTTTTATAGGGGCCGTATAGTGGGACTTCGGGAAGCTGGACTTTACACAACAGACCGTGAAGATCGCCGCCTAAGATTATTGGCCTTAAGGGACCGTTTCTCCACTACCAGGTCCATTGCAAACGAATGGTTTGCAGAACACGGAAGACCTATTGGCATGCGAAGTGTTTACCGACGAATGAGAAGTTTTGGCTTGTTTTCATACCGGCCACACTGGGTCCTCCCTTTAACTCGAGAACACCGACGTAATCGCCTTGAGTGGTACAGACAACGGTCACTCTGGGATCAGGAATGGAACAGTATTGTCTTTAGTGACGAGTCTCGATTTTGTTTAGGCATGCACGATGGTCGTGCCAGGGTTAGGAGGCGACGTGGTGAAAGGAGGAATCCACAGTTTTTTGTTGAAAGACATGTTCATCACACTGTTGGAGTTATGGTTTGGGGTGCTATAGTTTATGGTTCCAGGTCACCTTTAATCTTCATCAGAGGTAACATGAACGCGCAGCGTTATATCCACGAAGTTCTAGAACCCCATCTTTTACCCTATCTTGACACCCTGGCAGATCCAACTTTCCAACAAGAAAATGCCCGACCACATGTTGCAAGAGTCACAATAGACTTCTTTCGACATAATGATGTCACATTGTTACCATGGCCACTAAGACTTATCCCCAATTGAGCACGTGTGGGATATGATGGGTAGGAGATTGCTCAATTTGCAACGTCCTCCACAGACTCTAGAAGCAGTTCGAGAGGAGTTTGTGGTTGCCTGGAATGAGATACCACAGGAGGGCATTGACCACCTGATCAGAAGCATGCCTGGGCGCGTTGGAGAATGCGTAGCACATCAGGGTGCATCCACACATTATTAAAAGTCAAAGGGCTTTAAAGCAGTGCAATCATTTTGAAATTTTTATCATTTACTTATTATGCTTCATTAAGTACTTACTACTTATACAAAATTTTATTAAAATAAAACCATTTAAACTGGATGTTCGGATTTATATGTCACTTAGTATATTTTAGTATACAGACATGTATTGTCAAGGCGATCCGTGGGACCTCTGCCTTTGAGTTAATCTGTGTAATTAGTCAGGTTTGTGTTCCTCAATTTTTGTATTTGTTAATTGTTTTACAATATGTGATACTGCCGATGATATGACACAGGCTTGTTTAAATGGAATTTTAATGCATTGTAGTATAAAGATTCCTAAGACTCATTTCCTCATTTCTTTTCTTACAAAAAAAAACTATTAAATATCTGCACACCCTAAAACTTTGCAACTATACATTATAGAAGAACTAGAATCGAATGTAATTTTTTTATGTTAATTAGTTCTCATTTTCATATTCAAATTAAATAATCATTTATTACTACCACATTTGGAAAACTTCACAAAATTACGTCATTATCATAATTACGAAACTAGAGGCAGTATAGATTTTCATCTGCAAAATTGTAATAGTATAATAGCAGAACTAGCAAGTATGTATTTCAAAAGAGAGTATTTGATTTTGATAAATTGAATAATGAAATTAAACAGTGTTTGAATTTAAAATGTTCAAGGAGAAATTAGAAATTACTTTATGAATACCTAAAATGCATAGTGATGTAATTTTAATAGACAAGAATGTAAACCTTCACTTTGTCTGGTTTCTGGGCAACCAGGATTGACAGATTCGACTAACGTACATCAGACAGTGACTAATGGGCAAAGGTCCTAAGGACCGCCCAGACAAACAAATGACGAATAGTTAGTTAAGAATGTAAAATTACAAAAAACTGATTTAAAAAAGATACAGGATGTCCAGTGGGTAACTTCAAATTTGAATTGCGCGGCAACGGTATATGCCAGGAAGTGGGGAGAGGACTTTGATCGATGCGTTTGGCGTGCGGGTTAAATAGTCACAATGGAACGATGTACCGCAGCGCAACGTGCTTTTGCTATCGAGGCTGACTTTAAGAGTGGTGAATCATACGCAGCTGCCCTTCGGAAATTTCTTACACGATACAACATTCGCCCCAAGTAAGACCCAGGCTCTACTCTTAGTCAACCCATTCCTGGCTCCATACCTACTGAATGAACCGAAGAAAATGTGCGTCGAGAAAGTGATTCGGTCATTGAAGATCTTCGGCGTTCTGTACGGAAGCATTCCGCTGCTTTGGGAATCCCTAGGTCAACACTACATGGCATAACAAAGAAAAAAATAGGTTTTCATCCTTACAAAATCCAATCAGTCCATGCTTCAAAGGAAAGTGATTACGTATTACGGAAATCTTTTGCTAAACTGATGTTGAACCTTTTTCCTACGCAGCGCAGACTCGAGAACGATGTTTTCAGAGACGAGGCCCATTATCACTTAGACGGTTATGTGAACAAGCAAAATTTCAGATATTGAGCACCAACAAACCCAAAAGAGAAACATCAACAACAGCTACATAGTCCGAAGGTGCGGTAGCGGTATTGTCGGGCCGTATTTCTTTGAAGATGAAAACGGTCATACATTGACAGTCAATTCCGAGCGATACAAGGACATGATTGACACTTTTTTTGCTCCTATTGTAAGAATAGAACGTCGGTTTTAAAGAAACACATGGTGTCCACAGAATGGGGACACTACCCATACATCCAGAGAATCGATGGACTCGGTGAAAGCACTTTTTCCTCAAGCAGTGTATTCCAATAATCCACGAAAACTGGAGGAGCTTAGAGACAATATTCGACGACAAATAAACAACATCACTCTGGAACTCTGCAAGATACTGTTTCAGAATTTGCGCGTGTGTCCGAAGTGATGATAAACATTTGGACGGAATGATATTTAAGAAATAAAACCCGCCGAATTTACGAATATGTTGTTAGTAATTAATATTTTCTTTTCATTATGGTTGTATTTTTTTAATCAAAAAGTGAACTTTCCCACTGGACACCCTGTATGAACGAATAATTATACAAAATTGACATTTTGTAGCATTAATGCTAAATAAATCTTCAACAAACAAACAATACATGTAATAACAACATTCAAATTTGATCTCTGAACTTTATTTCAAAAATGCATAGTTATCGAGTTTTCTTTGTGTAATTTTAAGACTTAAACATTACTGACGATTAATGACCGCTAGACCTCATCTATGAAAATGAATTCTATTGTAAAATCTCTAGCTCAACAAGAATGTTTTGTCAAAAATGATGGGTGCCATTTGAATTCATAAAGTTGACCTTCAAATGACCTTTAAGTTTATTGTCTAGGTCATCTTTGAGATCATCTAAAAATTGCTTTTATGATATCCTGAAACTTCTCTTTGATCCTTTTTCCCACAAAATGCGTGGTTGACAAGTTTTCGTGGTCGTATATAGCGATTGGAAAGTTCTTCGTACTGCTTTCAATTGAAATCGCAAAATGATCTCAAACAACTAATTTTGCATTGAAATAATAAATAATTGGCTAATTAATAGTTTTCCATGGACATCGGAAATTACAGTTTTCAATATTAAGGAAGAATCTTATAATACCTCGCAATCATAGGATTATTATACAGATATATGATTGCTTCTAAGTTTTCTTATGTAAGTATTTAATAAAATAGTTTTCCCCTTGACCAGTCGATCTGTTAGGTTATTAAAATTACTGGAATATGCAACATAACACAAATAGTGTATAATACAATTATTCTACCACATTTACTGTATTGTTCAACTGCCAATGAAACTTTATTCTCAAAATTGCAAGGCCTAGAAAGTAATGATATGAGAGTAACATTGAAAAAAAAATAACTACACCAAAATTAAATCTATGTTATAAGAATTGCAGTGGTTGAATATTAGGAATTTCATCTATTTGGTTCTTATTTTCATATTTAAAATAATAACCATCTTTTGGCAAAACATTTAGAACATTACATACATAGAATTGAATAATCATTCAATTATTATAGAAGAAACAATATAGATTTCCGTTTAAAAAATTGCAATATAACTAGCAAATCAATATTTCAGGAAGGATTACTTGAATTTAATAAACTAAATAATTATACAAAGTCTACTTGTAATTTAAAGATTTTTAAAAGAAAAAATGGATCATTTTATTGATAGTGAACATTCTTAGAGATACCTACAAGTTTTGTTTTTCTGGATATTTGTATGCTATGTAATTGCTATAGTTTTTAAAATAATGTAGTTGTAGCAAGCATGTTGAATCTAAAGCAAACAAACAAAAACATATTTTATATTCTTAGAATTAAAAAAAAATACTAACCTGTGCTGGAGTGACTTCCAACTCCTGAATCTTCAGTCAACGATCCATCTTTTGACGTGGAATCCTCGGGACTGTATTGTTGATGGTGTTGATACATACCAGCAGCTCGTTTGTTGACGTTGGCCAATGTTTTCGCCGATTTTGTTTCGATCAGTCTGACGGATTCAGGCCTGGGGAGCTGGGTGGATTGAAGCGTGTACCTACCAACCTATGGAAAAAATGCGTCAAGTAGGTTTACTCTGTACTAGACGTTCCTGGATTTCTCATTTTTTAAACTTGGTCTTATAATATTTTACATGCTTAAGTGTTTTAATGTATTTTTATAACAAACATTTCTACTTTATATTTGTGCCTAAACATATACCATCAGCTGTTTCTGTAATATTTGCACTGATTGATATCATAAAGCAGCTAATAATCTAAATATCCGCCAGGAAATTAAACGCCATTTATTATTATTTAAAACAGAGAAATTAAACGGATTAAGTCAGCCAAAGAGTCCCATACAATTAGTCCATAGACATTCTTTCCCTGCCCTTTCGGTAGTTAATGTCCATTTAGCAACGTTGTCCCTTTCCACATATGCGCGTCATCGCTGCGGAATTATCGTTCATTTCATGCGTAATCCGTGTGTGCTTCTCTATCGGCTCCTGTTCTACCTACAGCAAAGGTTAAACGGGGAGGGTTTTAGAACAAACTTAGTGCTTTCGATAGCCGGCTTCAGATTTACGATCAGTCAATTAGTTTTGAAAGTACCAGCGAAAAACCGAAAATGGCGGAATTTCTTTTTTGCCAGTAGATCAAAAAAGGTTAATTTGACCGCTCTCAAAATGCGACATTAATCGGACATTTTTTAAGACAAATTAGATAGCGTGTATGACATGTCTCAATCGTCTTTTGTTTTTTCGCAGCCTGCCTCAACTTTCATTTTTCTTAAAGCCGCCATATTGGATTTTTCGATTTTTGAAAAGAGCGTAAAATTTCCAGCCTAGTGATGTCTCACAAGTGCATAAAAGATTGGAGTATCATCGAAATATCATCACACGTAATGTTATGTATTATACTAAGTGACATATAAATCCGAACAGCCAGTTTAAATGGTTTTATTTTAATAAAATTTTGTATAAGTACTTAATGAAGAATAATAAGTAAATGATAAAAATTTCAAAATGATTGCACTGCTTTAAAGCCCTTTGACCTTTAATAACGTGTGGATGCACCCTGATGTGCTACGCATTCTCCAACGGGCCTAGACATGCTTCTGATCAGGTGGTCAATGTCCTGCTGTGGTATCTTATTCCAGGCAACCACCAACTCCTCTCGAAGTGCTTCTAGAGTCTGACGAGGACGTTGCAAATTGAGCAATCTCCTACCCATCATATCCCACACGTGCTCAATTGGGGATAAGTCGGGAGATCTTGGTGGCCATGGTAACAATGTGACATCATTATGTTGAAAGAAGTCTATTGTGACTCTTGCAACATGTGGTCGGGCATTATCTTGTTGGAAAGTTGGATCTGCCAGGGTGTCAAGATAGGGTAAAAGATGGGGTTCTAGAACTTCGTGGATATAACGCTGCGCGTTCATGTTACCTCTGATGAAGATTAAAGGTGACCTGGAACCATAAGCTATAGCACCCCAAACCATAACTCCAACAGTGTGATGAAGATGTCTTTCAACAAAAAGCTGTGGATTCCTCCTTTCACCACGTCGCCTTCTAACCCTGGCACGACCATCGTGCATGCCTAAACAAAATCGAGACTCGTCACTAAAGACAATACTGTTCCATTCCTGATCCCAGAGTGACCGTTGTCTGCACCACTCAAGGCGATTACGTCGGTGTTCTCGAGTTAAAGGGAGGACCCAGTGTGGCCGGTATGAAAACAAGCCAAAACTTCTCATTCGTCGGTAAGCACTTCGCATGCCAATAGGTCTTCCGTGTTCTGCAAACCATTCATTTGCAATGGACCTGGTAGTGGAGAAACGGTCCCTTAAGGCCAATAATCTTAGGCGGCGATCTTCACGGTTTGTTGTTCTACGGCGGCGTCCAGTGCCCCTTGCTCTTTGCGTACGGCCTTCTCGAAGCCATGCCTTACAACACCTAACCACAGTGTCTACACTTCTTTGCACTCTAACTGCAATTGCCAGAAAAGAAAGTCCAGCTTCCCGAAGTCCCACTATACGGCCCCTATCAAACTCACTAAGTTGACGAAATCGTACAGGTCTCCGTACTCTAGGCATCGTAACCGATCGTAAAGGATGTCAAGAACCAAAATCCGCCAACGTTGATTCTTTACTGTGGCTGAAATATTCATTTTTAGAGCGTTAGTGAATTAAAAAAAAAGCAATATAAAAACCGGAATGTCCAACTGATAAGGCTGAAAATTTTTTCACTTGTTATTTACAGTAAGATAAATACATTCACCAACTTTTATTAAAATAAAACCATTTAAACTGGGTGTTCCGATTTATATGTCACTTAGTATATTTTTTTCTAAGGAGGCCATGATTTATTTATCAGAAAATATTTTTTTCCTTCTAAGGAGTCTCTGACTTTGACTTTAAATAGTTCAAAGTATTAAAATTGTGCTTTAATAAGTACGTTTTCTCTCATTAAAATCATAAATCTGACAAAAAAATTGTCAAAACCTGTTGAAAATGGCCGGTATTCCCTACTCAAATGAAATGCCTTCAAAAAATGTCAGAAAAATGTCACATTTTGACAGCTGTCAAATGAACCGTTTCGGCACGGGTATTACGTATTTTGAAAAGTGACACTATGTCATTTTTTTGACATTATATTAGTTTTTGTGACATTATGTAGGCTTTTCTACGACATGTTAACTTAGCACTAGCTGACGGCCACGTTGAAACTAGTTTTGTAGTTGTATGTGTTGCCTAAACGACATGAGGCTTCAGTTATCAATGTTTGGCTCTTATGTGATGTAAAGTCTGCTTCAGAGATGGCATTACTGGAGGTAAGGTAACGGCAATGCATAGGTGCATAGAGAGGATTTGTGTGCTATTAATATGTGTTGATGATAATTCCATTGGATTCTTGTCTCAACTTACTTCAGATTCAAAGCTAGAAATTAGTTGAGCATCCACTTTTTCTTATTTTTTGGGAAAATACACATGCAAATTTGCTGAATTTAAAAAATGAGAGAGAAAAGAAATAATTATATTCACTGTAGACTGTCGAATTACAAGTCATATACATGCTAACAGTAATTACAAACAACGCAGTCGCGGTGGTGAGTTCCAGATTCAGATTCATTTATTGATCCAGTTAGATCTACATTGTAGACATTGGATAAGTCGGTGTATACAGATTAAAATATACTTAAAAGGAAGTAAAATACAAATAACAATAAGAACATAAAAAACATATGATACACACATGGCAATGAATTATTTGTTAAGATCTATCAGAAGCACCGTGGAATGTGACAAATTCACCTAGGTCATAAAAACCGCAGCCCGATAGCTTGTTCCGCAAACGTCTTTTGAACAGCCCTACAGAGTTTACGTTTGTGATCTCCAGAGGTAATAAATTAAAAAAGTATATTCCTGCTGTTATGGGAGATTTTGAGTGAAACGTATGATATGACACATGCCTAACTATATTATTTTTATTACGAGTGCTTCTAGTCATGGATGTCAGTATGCTTAAGATAATCATTTCTGTGCTGAAAAATATATGTTAAAAGATTATAAAGATATATACATGCTACTGTAAGTATTTTGTGTTTAACAAATATCTCACGACAGGAAGATCTGGCCCGTATTTTAAATATAATGCGATTGATTCTTTTTTGTAAGACAAACACTCTAGAGATTTCACTAGCCTGACCCCACGCAGTAATGCCATATGAAATTACAGAGTGTACACATGCATAGTAGACATCCATTAATGCTGAGGTGTTTAACATCCTCCCTAGCGTAAGTATTAAATACATACTTTTTCCAAGTTTCTTACATACGGAATCAATTTGCTCTGTCCATCTTAAATTGCAATCAAAGCTTACACCTAAAAAAAACAGTTTTTTCGGAAGTTACAACTGTCTTGCATTGAAGACTGAAATTAAAATTTGACGGAATTTTTGGTTTCATAAAATATTCAACTGAAACGGTCTTTTTTGTATTTATTATTAGTCTGTTTTTGAAGCACCATTGACTGAACTCATTAACCGAATCATTAATTTTTTCTTGAAGACGATCTTGCGATGAGTCAGCTAAAATGATATTATTTGTGTCGTCTGCATACAAAAGTAATTTTCCGTATGATAAGTGTGCAGGCAAATCATTTATGAAAATCGAGAAAATAAGTGGTCCAAGGACGCTGCCTTGAGGTGTGCCCCAATCTAAATTGAACTCATCAGATTTTTTATCAGCGACAGTAACATAAAATTTTCTATTCTCTAAAAAGCTAACTAGCCATTGATTCAAACATCCGCGAATGCCAACATGATGAAGTTTATCGGCCACAAATGACGAACTTACACAATCAAAGGCCTGAGACAAGTCAAATTGGATACTCACTACGTAATTACCTAAATCAAGTTTATCACAAACATACTGAACGTACTCGATGATGCTTGTTTCAGTTGAGTAGCCTGCCCTGAAACCATGTTGAGCATATGTGATAATAGCAAATTTAAGAAAGTAATTTTCAATTTTCATTGCAACCACTTTTTCAATGATTTTCGAGAAAATACTTAACAGCGCGATTGGCCTATAGTTTTCAACATCACATTTTTCACCTTTTTTAAATATCATAATTAACGATGCCAGTTTAAGAGATGTTGGAAATTTACCAGCAGCAACCGATTCATTAATGATGTCTGCTAATACTGGGGCAAAGATATCCATGTTCTGTTTTACTAAATAGATTGGAATTTCATCAGGCCCTGTAGATTTCTTGTCTGACATATTACTTATCACAAATATAACAACATCAGCAGTGACATGGGTGAAAAACATTGATTGTTTGGCTGTTTCACCAGTAGTGCAGGAATCCGACAAAACGGTAAAATTTTTGACCATTTTCTTGCCAATTACAGTGGATACATATTTTCCAAAAAACTTGGCGATATCAGTAGGGTTGGTTATAGTTACGTTATCGCAGACTAATTCTGTAATAACTGCATTCTTTTGTTTACCTTTTATTGAATTGACAATATTCCAAGTAGTTTTCTGTTTGTTTGA